AATATTAGACAAATGTTTTTGAATTTGAATTTGCTCAAATTTGTTGGAATCACACCAAATTTTAACTGATTGGCTTAATTTCTGTAATGCCCATCAAAACCTTTAAATTTGGATTATTTCTGAATTCTCCATCTTATTTCAAGCCCAATGACAGCTTCTGAAAACTGCCCACCCTTTGCATCCTTAACTTGTGTAGAGATTATACATTTTCCACTTCTTTCTGTGCAAACTCTTGGCAAACATAAACCTCATACCTCCATAAAAGAGATGCCCACACTCCAGACATCGGCATGGATTCCGTACTGCTCTCCTGATATCCTTTCGGGCTAGTGAGAAAAAGGAAAACAATCCCTTAGAATCAATCAACAAAGTCTTACATGTAAAAAAAAAAAAGAGCAGAACTTTATTCAAAATTAGAAAAGGAGGAGGCAAACTTACTGCCATGTAAGCATTGGTTCCCACATATGTTTTTGCTATAGAATTAACAAGCTGCAAATGTAAGAAAAAATACATATTATAAGCACATAATAGATCTTTAAACAGCAATAAGATGAATAGTTTTTATATGTCATAGTCATAGAAACTGTCTTGAAAGCTGTGTTTGGTTTGCATATTTTAATCGACTGTTATGTCAGGGAGAGATGCTCAGACCTTCAACGAGGGACAAAGGTGGTTTATGTCATCTGTGGCCTGATGAATGTATGCTTACTTATTATGTCCTAGAGAACGTGAAGAAGGGACGAAGGATGTATGAGTTTAAAAGACAACATATATATATATATATATATATATATATATATATATATATATATACATATATATATACACCATCTGATGAGGAAAAACAAGTATTTGACCCCCTACCAAACAGCAAGTATTCTGGCTCCTAAAAACCAGTTAGTCTTTCTTTAAGACACAGCCCCAATCCCAACCTATTATCTAGATCAAATACACCTGCCTCACCTCGTTACCTGTATAAAAGACACCTGTCAACACCCAAACAACCAGCATCCAAATTCAGCGACATCACCGACTTAGATTTGGTTAAGCCGGGTTCAAAAGGCAAGATAATGGTTCGGATCTTTGCCCCTACTTTT